GGGTGGGGGTGGGAGAACATTCTTTTAAATCAGCAAATGATTTCAGACGACTTACTCATTCTAATGGGCTTTCCCAAAACTAAATCCTGGAAAGACCGAGACTGGTCTCAAGAAATGTCGTTGGTCGTCATTGGCGTGTATACACAAATCAAGCGTGAAATTTGATTCTTTTTTTTTTTTTCTTCAGTACACTCCCATCTCTGTTCATTTCACGCTAACGCCTTTCCTCGAATATAATCACTTCTCCAAAATCCGGCTTCGGACCAAGATGAAGCTCGTTAAAAATCAGCACGGATGTATGCGTGGGGACCGTTTGAAATGAAATGTCTTTTATTGTATAATTTTTCCTGAGTTGCTGATGTTTCGTTTTGCTTCGTTGTCCTGTTTGCCTTTTTTTTGGTGGGTTTTTTTAAAACAAAGTTTAGAAACTACTGTTCACGCTTCGTGGAACTATATACATCCGGATAGTACATAACTGGCGATACATAATGCAGTGCAAGAACGATTGAACGACTGCTTTGAAGAATCATGCCCTTGACCCAGTAGCCTAACAATCCTGCTTGAAATTTTGATGAATTGATGGTGATGATAATAAGAAAGATTGCTAAACAATCATTATTTTATTGACACAATGATAGTTTGTGTGAGTTAATGAAATATCAGCTTTCTCCCAAGACATGCCTCATCTCTCTCTCTCTTTCTCTCTCTTTCTCTCTGTCTCTTTCTATGAATGTTTCATTGTTTATTTGCTTGTGCGTGCACCCACGCACGTATGCACGTTACGTATTTGCAGGTCAGTTTACTTTTTACCTTATCCCTAGAAAGTTTTCGGAAAGAGAGGTGTAGGGGATTCCCCTTCTGGCTCGTCAGGAAGAGGGAGATTGACAGTTTTATTAAGGAAGTTAGCGGTCCCGGTGGGGCAAATGGGGCAAAAGGTGACGGATGGAGAGAAAAGGGGGTGGGGCGCAGGGTGAGTAAAGTGGGAGGGGGGTTCGTGTATGGTAAGATGGTGACAATTCAGTGTGCATTACAAAACCGCAAGTTGGCGAATTGAGCGTGCAGTTTGTCCAATCAGAGCAATTTGGGTTCGGTTCATTTGCATATTACGACAAGGTCACATGCGCGGGTGCGGGAAAGGGCGAAAAGGTGCGGAAAGAAAAAGGAAAAAAGACCGGGTTCGCTTTGTTGTACAACAGCTTGTACCCAAAGTATGTCGTGTCTATCTAAGCCTATGCAATGCGGGTGGTTGACAGGTGTTTAGTACCTGCGTGTGGTCTGCTCCCTGTACTTCTTCTCACTGTTATTAATATTGTTATAAAGGTGGTAAAGCGTGTAGAGCATGCTGTAGAGTGTGGATAACCGCTACGTAAAAGTGATCTATTTATCTATCTGTCTACATGTATGTATGTATCTGTCTATCAATCTATCAATCTATCTATCAATCTATCTATCAATATATCTATCTATTTATACTAGAGATATTGGCAACTCTGAAGACGTCACGTGGTGTCTGTAAGGACCAGACGCACCATTCAGTCCTTGTTGTTGGTCACGTGCCGGGCCAGTCCGCGCGCTTTTCTTTCTTTCTTTCTTTCTTTCTTTCTTTCTTTTCTTTCTATCTTTCGTTCTTTGACTTTGACTGTGACAGGTGATCGGGGTTAGGGGACATCTGTCTCGTGTTGTCGTCTGCTGTGCAGGGATGTGAGACTGGGGACAGATATCTGTCTTT